TTGGCCAGCTCATATGGACCAGTGGTAATTTTGCCGTTCATACCCCAGGTATCTCAATGGATCACGATGTACCTTAATGACATGCCGTTTAGGGTCTGCTACAAGATTGGCAGAACATGGTGTCACATTTTATTTTAAAAGTGCATGCTCATTAATACCTCTGAAGAAATGTTAAATGCTGTCTACGAAGTTCAGTGCGGAGACTGTGACAAGGTGTGCATTGGAAAGACCAACCGGAAGCTGAACATCCGTATAAAAGAGCACATTGCTGCGGTCCTCTTTGGACAAGCAGACAGTTCTTGTTTTGCCCAGCATGTGATTACTGAAAGACATTCTTTCAGTCAGATCAGTGTATTTGTCATTGACAAAAAGCAGTTTAAATTAAGTCTGCTGATAAAGGAATCCTTGGATATACTGGCAAAAAAACCGAATGTGCAACGAATACACAATTACAAGTTGAGACGCAATCATAGCATTGATAACGGCGGGTCAAGATGACAAACATATGATTTATTTTGATGTGAAAATTGTACTTTGTTCAGTTTAACAGCATCTTGACTGTATGTGATGAGCCAATTAGTAATTGGCATTCTTCGCTTGTTGGACATAAATGCCTCCAAGCAGTCATTTGTACTGAGTCGTCCAGACCTGATGATGCCGCGGTCTGTGCAGTGAAACTCGTCGGCATTAAACTGTTTACTGTCTGCCGCATTTCGTGCCCCTAATCATTGATCATTCAAACGACTATGTATATAACTATGGGTCCAGAATCAGATATGATATCTGAACAATTAATTCCATAACATGAATCATCGTACTTCTGTCATCGACTGCGAGATGAAGGCCTCTCCAAGAATTTGACAGGAAATTCTGTCTTCGATATTCTTAGCCTCGTCCCAGTACAAATATGGATACTTCTTTAACTGAGCTGCTTATTTAATCTGTGAGCACCATAAAGACAGTTCATTTTGTACACAACGCAGTGGGGATATTGACCGATATTTCTGTCCGCACCTCAAGGACTTTCCTCAAAGAAAAAATGCTCATCAAGTTTGGTTTGTAGCAGGTCGTACTTTTGGAGACCAGGCATGCTTGCTGTCCGTGCTGCCGGTCAGATCACATCATGGCGACAG